AGAAGTAGATGAGATTCTTTTTTCTCTACAGATTTCTGCTGCCATATGTGGCATAACATGAAAACTTGAGACATTCTCCAATTCTGTAGTCTCAGATGCCAGCACCTCTGTGCTCTCAGGTGTCAGCCACAGGAGACTTTCACTGTGATCCTCTCTCACTGCACATCTTCTGTTGTCACCTACATTGTCCTCAGAACCTTCTTTTAATGTGCAGAGTTGGAGTCTCCCACTTGCCTCAGAGACTCTGCTCTCAGTAGCTAACTATGAAGAACAGCTCTGCTGGGGCTCTAATCTCAGTGACATGCATGTTTTTCTTGCCTCACTTCTGATCATTAAGAAGGTGACATTGTTATTCTTCAAGGCCCCCAGTGCAGTTTTAGTTCACTCACCTGTTCTTATTTATGTAAAACAAAGTAAAAGACTACTAGTGATTACTCTCTAAACTATACAGCCATGTCAACAGCCAAATCTTAATCTTTCCTCTTCCTGACATTTTTCTCTCATAATTCTAAATTCTTCTACTACCAGTGTCCTCATTACTCCCCTTTCTGATGCTTTCTTTCCTAGGCACACAAATATGAGCAAATCTCTTCCATCTTAGATAAATACAAGAAACAAAACTTGCTCTTTACTTTGGCTTTTTCCTTTGGCTTTTTCTCTTCCACATATCTACCATTTAACTTGATCACATTTTCTGCCATCTTTACCTTCCAACTCTAATTTGCTGATGGATCCACTGCTTAATCTCTTCCAAGCCCCTTGAAATTAATGAAGACTTTTTGGCTCCTTTATCACTGCTTCCTCTGAAGCACTGAGATTTGATGATCAAATCCCAAACTTGGAGCTCTTTTAACTTGATAGCAAGCCCCACAAACTTGATTTTCCCTGGTCCTTGGCTATATTTTCTCAATAAGTGTTGGTAACCTCCACAAAAATTTAAAATCTCATCTTATAAATGACAAATATTTGCAATTTATAATTGAGAACTAAGCCAATAATAATTTCTTTTACAGCACTAGTTGGGGATATAGCTCAGTGGCATAAGCACCTGGCTGTCAAGCACAAGGTCCTTAGTTCAATCCCTGGTACCACACACACACACACAAAAAAAACTTAATACAAAAAGCACTGCAGGAAAAAAAAAAAAAGCACTAGTAATGCCCAGCATGACTTTCTTAGCCATATTCTGGATATAACTAGCTGCTCAACATCCTCTGCTGGCCCTTCCCAAAACAAAGCCTTACTCACATAAAGAGCTTTTTCTCTCCCAGAAAGAGTTTCACCGCAGACCAGTAGGTAAAAAAAATGGAGACTATCAACAAATAGAAAATCCAGGCTCTGTCAGGATAAAGCAGAAATAAAAACACCTCAGTTATTTAAATGAACTTGGATCAGTTTTCTACTCACAGACCTTTCCAGAAATACTGTAACATTCAAGTGATCAAAGAGAAAAAAGAATGTAGAACTGATCTGAGGAAGATAGAGGGGGAGAGAGATCAAAGGGGAGATAGAAGCAAATACTAGTTCAAACCCTTTCTATGAGCTGGGGAAAGATTTACAGGAAGTATCTTTTCCTTCAGCTGATTATACTTTTTTCAAGGGAAATGAAGAACTTCTAGATTTTAGTGTACTTCCTACATGGATATTTTCTGTATACTTTGAGG